TAGGGTAGGGAGAAGAGAGACAAAAGGAGAGGGGAAAAAACCTTCATGGGTTGACATAAAGACAGTTTAATAGAACAGTAACAGAAGAGGAAAAGAACAGTAATTATAATAATAATGGTAAAAGCATATAGAAAATAAAGTGATACAACACCACCCGATGATCGACTGCCCATCCCATCCCGAGCAGCAATTGTGGATTCCCACCCCCCTAGCCAGCCCTATTTACACAACAAGCATGACATCTATGGTACGGCATGGCATATTCCTTTGGCCAGCTTGTCCTGTCTCTGCTCCTTCTCAGCCTCTCTGGGAAGCTGAAAAAGTTCTTCACTAATGAAAACATCACTTAGCAACTACTAAAACAATATGTGTTATCAGCATTATTCTCATACTAAATCCCAAACATAGAAGCTGCTAGGAAAAAAAAAAAAAAAAAAAAAAAAGCTCTAACCCAGCTGAAACCAGGACACTGCTTTTTGTCCTAATCCTTGTTTCTCATACAGCTTGAAGAATAAACCTGTTGGCAGCAGTGAGTATAACAACAGCAGTGACAAAATTTTCTAAAGTAGGAAAATCCATTCCAGTGGAAAAGTGACATGATACAAGGTAGAGAGGTCGATATCTACAACGTTCCAGTTGGAGATGATGGCCTCTACAGCTTGGGAGCTTTGTGGGATGAAGGGTCAGTAACAGCTGATAACAGGTGCGCAGCAGAGAGAATATAACGAACAGTGACAGCAGGGAACTACAGTCCTTGGGATCTGAGACAGAAATGAAGACTGGTGAGTCTCACTTATCTTTCCTGAAGCCTTTATACAAGTTTTACTTTCTGTTTTTCCATAGATAATACCAATGCTACATCTGTTTTTTATTTCAGATCTTTAGAAGTTTTGGGTTTCTTCAGGCGTTAAACTTGAGTGACAAAGCAAACACTTCAGGTACCTGTCTGAGCTCTGGGAAAGAGCAAGATGTAGGACTGGGGGCTTTTCTAATAAAACCCACCTTTATTCTGAAACAGGGAGAACTGTGGTCCTAAGGGAACTCTTTAAGTAAAGTCATTTGAAAGGTCACATTAGACTTAACTATGAACTGAACAAAGAAACATCTCTTATTTGATTTCAAGATGAGGAGAAGTTGCCATTGGTATAGACACCTGATGTCAATAAAGAAAAATATATTCTAATTTGTTCTTGAAAGGCCTTTCAAAGAACAGCACTTTTGATGTCACTGTTTAGTTCTGTTCTTCTCCTCAAGAAACCTACGTGCAACTACCACTGAAACATAACCTAGAGAAATAGCGATAATTGTTTCCTAAATCATAAAATAAAGAAATTAACTTGTTTTCTTTAGGGAGAAAAAGCAAGGAGAAAGTAAAATTCCACAATTATATTCATTTAAATCTGAACATTTTTTCCCCACACTGTTTTGTAAATCTTCTCTTCTGAGAAAGACTGAAACAGTCAATTTTATTATACGAGAACCCCATGGCACTGCCTAAAAAGAGCAATACCTATAACCTCAACACGCATTTTCTGGGTACATGAAATGTAGCAGGCTGCAGAACTGGAAACTAGTCCCCTGCACCAAGATGTCACAAAGGTGTGTGTGAAGAAAGGTGTGTGTGCCCTGTGCTTTGCCTGACAGGACAAGCAAAACTCTAACAAGTATTAAAGGAATCACACAGTTAAACAACTGGTGTATTAATACTGGGCTGAACTCCACTTTGTGTATCTGTAAATTACAATATTAAGGAGCCTAAAGAAAGACTTGTTTTTACATTTGTGAAGAACTTTTCTGATATGTAACTACATTTGTATAGTCTAGTGTGATCAATCTATTAAAAATAGCCTGAAGCTCAACACTGTCTCTTCATGGGGAATCTGGGTAACCGACTACTTTTATATCTTTATTGTCTTCCATTTCTTTGAGGTTTCCTTCCACCAGTTCCAAAGCCGTGGTGGTACGCAGCACTTCCAGTGTTTCAGATGCTGTCAATCATTACATCTCAAGATTCCATGGGTATGCCCATAGGTACACCTTGGTTATTTACATGCAAAACACTGTCCACCATGAACACGATGTTCAGAACTACATTATAAGATATTGCAGAGGATAAAAGCTTCCCTGCTGAGGCACTTAAAGGAATGAGCACTCTAAAAATAGCATCCTGAGAAGAGCACAAGATCCGTTCTGAGGGACAGAACAGGCAGCAGGTAACAGCTTAAGCACTGCAATTGAAAAGAGATTATGAAAGGCATTACCTGGAAAAATTTAAAAGTCTTGCAGAAAAACGGTGAGATTATTGTAAAAGAATATGTACACGTGTAATACACAGGGCAGCAGTCAGCACATAGGGAGATGATAAATGGTGAAAGGACACGTGAAAAATTTCTCCTGCAAGCTGCAGATAGTGTTGATGAACTTACTGTCGATGGGTGAATTCTGACTAAGCTGAGGAACACAATATGATCCTGTTGTTAAGGACTCTTGACTAGAAAATAACCACCCCAACAAAACACCCAAGAATACTGATCTTTCTTGACACACAGAGAAACAGTAAACAGAATATTCCTGACTGTCACACAGTCCAAAAAAAGAAAATGATCTGGATTTCCAGTTAGTCCTACTTTCAGTAGTAATGAAGATACTGAGGTCCTGACAAACTGCAAGAAAATGATGGAGCCAAAGAAGCAGAAAGAACTTTTTTTTTCCCCCCCCATAATTGGACTGGGTGGTTTCCAGAAAGAAAACTAACTGAATACAGTTGTGTGCTCAGTTTAGCAGGATAAATGGACAAAAAAATTTCCTTTACGCTTACCCTGGTTTGAGTTGGGGGTCAACTTCTATGTTGTTAATATAAAGGCACAGTTACAAGAAAAACATTCTTCTGTTTTTCTTTTCCATTTGGGAGAGCTGTTTCTGGCATTGTGATCTTGCTGATAGAGCTCAGTCACATTTGTTTTCAGTCCCATTCTAGTTAACTTGATAACATTTGATAACATATTTTAAAACGTTTAGAATCGTCAACAACAGCCAAGGATCATGGGGTGAGAATAACTTGTTCTACAAAAGGCTCACAAGGCTCCTTTAAACTCCCGAACTGAGTAATAGCCAGAGGTGAGAACTGGTATATTGCAAGATGGGGTAGGCTGTCCAGATTTAAAGGAAGGGAGATGAAAGAAGAAAAATCATTAGAAAAATATTTCTAATGCTTGTAAGAAAGCACCACAAGATTAGTTCTGGAAAGAGTAAATTTATTTTCTTGCCACAAAAAAGCCTAGTGAGCATAAACCTGAAAATATGTGCATAGTTTTACCTTTCTTTGGATTTTAAAAGATATGTTAAACCTTTCCATTAGACAAACACAGCAGATCTGAAGAGCCCTTTACCATACTGCATGCTGATAATGAATGATCATAGAAACAGACAAAAGATATCTAAGAGCAGGCAGAAGCACATATATTGTAAAGGAAACCAGCCAAAAAGAGATTAGTTCTTTGGCCTGGAGGAAGAGAAAGATCTTTTATAGGGAAACTTTAAAGAACAGAGAAGTCTGACAGGAACAATGACACAGTCAGTGGTACAGAGTTAAAAGTATGAACCTGAGATCCAGAAATCACAGAAGGAATATAAAAGGAAGAGTTAAGAAAGACTTTATATACTCTGTGTGCATGTGCACACATGTGTGTTGGTAAACAGAGCATCAAAAGAGAAAGGCAAGTTGCAACATGACCCATTCATATCCAGACATGCTGGTTTTGTTCCTGTACTTTGAATAACTGCAAGTGTAGCATGTGGGAACTGTTAATTCAAGAACAGAGATGATGACTTTTTATGGGGTAAAATTAGATTGCGTTGGCACTTTTTATTCTTGCTGTAGCCTAATACAGGAATCCAAGCAAAAGGCCGTAATAAGTTTGAGTTACCTGATGACTGCAATGTTTAACTAGAAGAGTAGGTAAAATTAAAGTCTTGCTAGTCATATGCACTGCATTTTTCAGTACCTGAATCTTAGATTGTTAATGTTCCTGTAACTTTTCCACATTAACACAATTTGCCCTTATGGACTCAGGAATATTTTCAATACTGGTTTACATCATTTATTCAAATGCCTTGTGCACCTAATTGCTTACTCTAATTAATATTTCAGCAATCTGAAACAAAAATAAATGGCAATGGAAAATATTCTCTAGGAAGAGATGGGGAACAACACGCTGCCATCACAGGTCATTTGAAAAAAGCTCATAAATCAGTAGTCATTCTCATTGCTATTTAGTATGTGTACTGCTACAACAATGTTTTTCTCCATAATATCATTGTCACCATTCCCCAAATTTTAAGTTGTTAATGGGAAAACAAGGGAATAAATATACTTTCAAAGGCAACCCACCTAAAATTAAAATCCGCAGCACCTCAAATAATTTGAGGAAACTATCAAGACTGTAGTTTTCAATCCGCTTGGTAAAGACATTAAAAATACCAAAATGTGTGATTTTTTTAGCATTCATTGATATGGCCTGATTCAGTCCTGTATAGTTTTCCCCCAGCACGTAGTAGCAGAGTACAAGACTAACTTTGAAGCAAATAAGTATACAAATATAAGCCTAATGTTTGCTAGACTTAAGGCCTCTCTACACACACATGGCTGTGTGGGAGTAACGTAAAGTATATGCAGATTACTTCTGAATGTTAAGACTTACACTTTTCATTATAAATGGCTTAATAGGCTGAGTAGCTTACAATATTTATGCCTTTCACAGGGTACCTGTGACTACAGTTTCCAGGTGCCACCACATAATGTGCAACTTTCTTAAGCAAACATATTTCCTTTCGTTACTCTAGAGCCATACTCTGCTCTAAGTTCTCAGCTAATTAACAAAGGCAAGTTTTGTATATTATGCATCATGCACTTAATTTCTAATACAGTGCATTTATTATTCATATTTTAAATGACGGGTACTTCAACTACTCACAACACAGCTGCAAGTAACTTTCATTACCTGATCTTGTGATTTCTTTTTCTTCTTCTTCTTTCCCCAGCACCCTGAACTCTCGGCATCTTTTCCATTGGCATCACCACAGAGTAATCCATCAAGTTCATCTGTTCCCATCTGCTGTCCCTGAGATGTTTCTGCAGCTAGCCTGTATGAGAGGTTCCTCAAAATGCACACACAGTTTTCAACGGTCTGAAAAATGCAACAAAAAAAAATAATAACACAACAGAAAACAAAACCAGAAAAGAGTTAAAATCCTTTCTTTGCTCACTCTGTATACAACGCAGAGGAAACATAATTGATCTTTGAACATACATTTTCCCAGTAAAATTCTTATCTGCTCATTTCTGAGTGCTCCCCCCGTTACTACAGTTTAAGAGATTTAGAAGTTTTTATGGAAAGAAATAAGTAGTTTGGACAACATTTTAATGTGAGGGGATTTTTTATTGGAATTCTGAATATCATGCTGGAGCCCCATGTGAAAAAGAAACCAAGGTAAAAAGCAAGCAAGAGAACCTGAACACACAGAATGACAGTAAACCCCCATCTCAGTGAATAGAAAATGCTACAAACAGAAAATGGCAGTAGGTTGTGGGTCTGGTTTTGTTTGTTTTTAAAACCAGAACTAACCTTTTTATGGCATCAATTCTATGTAAATTACCAGAAAAATGGGATTAAAGTTCCATTTCCCAAGTATGCGTAGCATGGACAGACGATGTTTCCCACATCCCAGAAGTAAGACTAGAAATCTCAGTCTTGCTGATTTTACTGCTCCTAGCCAGGCTGCAGACACCTTATGAACAGCCTTTCCCTTTCATCCATTTGTCCCCTTAAAAGTTTGTGCTTTCTGTAGAAGATACTGGCAGGAATCCAGAAATGGAGGGTGACCCAGTGCAGGAAAAAATCACTGATGATTCAGCATAACTTCTGCAAGTCTAAAAGATGTTCAGCTTAGACTTACTTGAAGCCTACTCATTGAGTTAGTTCAATTTGGTTTGACTATCCCTAATAAGAAGGATAGTGGCTTAATTTTCTGGAAGCAGGGGAAGCATGGTTAAAAAAGCCAGTCTGTATCTATCTATATTTATTTCATGGAGGTAAAAACCAATAGTGGCTACATCCTATTTATGTTGCTCCATTAACCCAGAACAGAATCACCGTGAGGCTTTCAGCTCTGTCGTGCTCTGCCATATTCACCAGCAAGGCAAACAGATGGGGATTCATTTTCTTCCATACACTGTATGAGTTTATGCCAGGTATGCGTTTGGCACACAATTTATGCAATGACATTAAGTTCCAGAGATGATATTGAACTCAGACTCACTGAGAGAGGAATATTTATTTATTTTTAACACAGATGAAATTTCACATTATGCTTGTACTAATTTGAGATCTCCAGCCAAATACATAAACACTTGTAGAAATATATATATATATGTGTGTTTAGAAAGCATTCTTAGTGCACCTTTCACACCTGAAAGCTTTCCAGACTTTGTAGTGACCCTACTTTAAAAAAAAAAAAAAAAGTTTGCTGCCTCTACTTTTCATTAAGATTTCCAGATGGGAATTTTATTCACTCTTGTTAATATTTACTTCTGCACAGCCATAGCATGCTGTTGAAACTTCGTGTTTGTTGATCAAGGAATTTTAATTTCCCTTTTTACAAATCATAGTTTTCCCACTTAAAATTCCCATCATGTTGAAAACAAATAAACTGAGTCGACCACAAGGACAATGTTAGCTCAAACTAAAAAGTGATAAGCAAATTTCCAAGGCTCAAATGCAACCGTCACCTTCTTTGCTGAGATGAACATTACAAGCCAAGAAAGCTGCCTCTAGACATGCAGTTGGACAGATTTCACTCCTCCTTGACTCGTAGCTTTGAACTTTCAAGGGTCCTTGTACTCCTCATTCCTACAGATTTTTTCAGTTTCATCGTAAAGGGACTAAATAGGAGTTCAGGAGTCCTTCTACTTCAATAGATCAAATTAAAATTATGAAGAGTAACTTTGTCTGGTGACCACGTCCAAATCACTCATTTAAACACTTTAAGTTGAAATAGTGTAGCTTTTTCTTACTACACATTTGTATGAAACATTGCTGCTAAGATGCTTGTAATGCTGCTAAGATTTATGCCCTCTTAACTTCATCAATGTGAGGAATTATTACTTTAACAACTGTGCGCGTTTGCAAGTCCCCCCCCTCTTTCAGGGCCTGCAAGAGCAGGGATCTGTTTTTCAGTACTTCAGTTTTTAGTCACTAACAGTATTACAAAATTATCTAATAAGGCAATTGTCATGGCAGTTGAAAAATAGCATTTATTAACTTTATTTTAAAGTTCTCTTTTTTTGTGACAATAGTACCATTTTTGAAACTAGATGAAAAAGTGAACTGGAAATACAGACCCAGTGGACTGAAAAATTTTGCTGCGCAAAAGGCAGCTCTCCTTCTTAAGAGTTTGCAAATAGACCAAGGTTGCCCCAAGGCAACAACTGTAATTAATTTAGCACCATATACTGAATGCAAAGGGTATTTGAAACTAGCCTTTTCCTTTTTCTCTTGAATACTTTAATACATTACAAGTCTTCAATCTGTAAATGCTTGAAGTCTTTTTAATTAGGTAGCACCTTTCACCTTTGGAGAAACATGTTCATATCCTAGTACTTCAGAGAAGTAAAGGTGACATAAAAATACATCTTAGAACAGTTGTTATTGAAAGCATTCATTGGTCCTCTCCAAAGAGGAAATAATGTTTGGATTACTGCAAAAATGCCTATTAATAGTGCAATTTTGGGGTGATTTGTTGGCCTTGTAAGCCTACCTCACTGTTTCTAGCTCTATCTCATACTGGGTATTGAAAATCAATTTTAAGGTAAACTAGGCAGAGCAGTGCAAGGGAGTTTACATAGAATGTGACATATTTGCTATTCTTAAATCAGTGTCCTATTTTCTCCCTTAATAATTCAAGTGAGTGGATAACATGCTTACCTGTGCACACTACATGGGCAGATACAAATCCAACACTTAGCACACAAAAATACACAGCTAAACAGAAATCAAAGAAAAAAAGGGGCTAAATTACGCTTTGCAAAGGCATCCCTCATAGTGTATTTAAAAAAAAAAAAAAAAGAGGCCCCGTCACTTTATAGTTCTGATATACCCTGAATACCTGGATTTCTTGCTCCTGAAAAGACAAAGATGACAAACCTTACTATCAATTTCACTGCTCCCCAGAGCAGACTGGATCACGTACAGCAATGCATCCGTCAGGCCATCACACTCCCTCATTCTTCTGCGGGCCTCCTCTCCAGCAGAGCTGACATTCCTGCAAGGCAACAGCAAAGGGTCACCACTTCCACAGCTCCCCTCCTCAAACGATCTCACAATTAACACACAGATAAGAACACTTGGGTTTTTTTCTCCTTTCATCAGTTCAGAGCTGTGAATAATGAAGACAGCTGTGAATGAGCTCAGGAAATGTAACACAGAGGGGAACAAATGGAAGTCATCAGGTCCTCCACAAGAAAGGGCTGAGAGGCCAAGCAGCATGCGCCCACCTGAGCTGGGAGACTCAGCGCCTACTAAGATTTGGAGAAGGGCTGATCATTTATCTTTCCTTTTTTTTTTTGTTCCCAAAAGTAGGTTTTGCAGTTGTGAGAAAGCATTCTAAAAATGTGCATATGTACATATAAATCAGGCTTTGAAAAGTCTAGAGGTTTTGCCAAAGAAATCTCCTAGGATTTGAAAAGCCCAGTAGTTAGGGCTCTTAACCTGAGAGAAAAATATTATCAAAGCATAACATAAAACACCTGGTATTGCTTGCTTCTTATTTTACATTAGTGTTTCCTTTTCCCTCTCATTTTCAGAGAACATTAATGCCTCAATCTTCTCTTTACATAGTTACTCACAAGTTGTTTTACATTACAAAATGTAAAACAGCTTATTACAATAATTGTGTTCCTTAGACAGGGCCAGAGGGCTTTCTGAACACATTTATAAAAACACAATTAAAACAAAAATTTTCTGCATAACATAACGTATCATAAGGTTCAAAATATTGATATATAAAGAAACAAATATGTATGAATGAGCATATATAAATATAATCTATGCTTGCTAACATCAAGTCTCCCTAAGAAAAACTGCATTCAAATTTGCACAGCAGTTTGGATTTGGAAATGGGTGCATTAGCAATCTCAGGAATAGAGTAAAACTTTTCACATAGTCTCCTACTGTAGGGGAAGACAACCCTCTGCTGAGGTGACTCCTCTTTGGCTCCTCTTTCCCCACTACTAAAACTTATGCAAAGGAAGAACAGAGAAGAGCATGCCAGCCCTATGTTCTTAATGCCACCATATGGAAACGGAAGAGAGCCCGTTGGCCCTTTGATTTGGGAAGAAGGAAGGGCATTTTGTTCCTCTTATGCTATTTTCAATTGCCTTTGCATTAAAGAAGGAAAAAGGACAAAGCTCCTGGAAGGGATGAATGAATTTTAGACAGAGGAAGATGACAGGACTTAAGGATAGGTTTCCTTTAAATTCTTTCTTTGCTCTACCTACTTCATCCTGTTCTGCTTGCCTATCATCTGAAAATAAGCATTTCTGTTCCCTCGAAGCATCAACGAGTTTTCCTAATCAAATAGTCTTATAACTGGACAGTCCCCCAGCCCCTCCAATGCAGGTTCCTAATTGATTCTGCTCCCTAAACACACATGATTTTTCATCTATACTTGCATCTCCACACAGTCCTAATTAGCTCTGCTCTCCCCACACAAGCTGCCCCAATTAATTCAATACTGTTTCCTTCACCTCTGCAGACAGCCCGACAAGTGAAGCATTAGAATGAACTCCTTTATCTCCCTAGAACACAAATCCATGCTTTCCATTCTCCTTGAGACTCCCCAGTTCGCTTCACATTACACATCAGAACCGCCCTCATAATGGCTTGCAAGTTTTATTTTGTCTTGTTCTTCTGGTCCCTGAACTCCATACCTCTTTCCCTCTCTCTCTGCTGTTATGAGAGCAGAGGATTAGGGGTTTTCCTCCAGTTCATGGGGAAACCCTCTTCTGTCATCCAGGAATTGGGGTTTAGAGAGCACCAACTGGAAAAAGTCTTCCATTGGTTCTGTTTCTGAAGTGATGGAAATATTTTGATTTCCCTTTGGGTGACAGAAATCAGAAGGTAAAATTATAGTGCATGGTTTTCCCAAAACAGTGCCTGTGCCCTATATTTGGAGGTCTGGGGACTCTGCCTAAAGCATATTTTGAGTAGACTGTCCCCTTATTAAAAGCAACAGCTCCACCTGAAATTCCTGATGTATAGACTGTTACATTTACTTCTGTTTAAAAGGATTCAGTAATATTTCAGCATTTTTTTTCATAGTGGTTCAAGGAAAGGTGGTGTGCTGAAAACACTTCCTTAGCATCCCCCTATTGTAATTTGTGCAGTTATTCTTTTAGGCCTGGATACAACTCTTTCTCTCTCTCTCTATCTTTATCTTCCTGAAGGGAGGGAGAGTAGAATTTCAAATAAAAGAAGTCCACTAACCTCCCTGGTCCTCACTGCCCACTCCCAATGCACTTTTCAGATCCATGATTCTTCTTTTCTTACATGTGCCCAGGCTAACACAATGTGCCCAGGTTTCCTCATTTTCTGCAGTTACATATACTGAGTGCAAGCTTTCAAAATATATAGACTTAGACATTGGTAGAAACAGAGACACGTTCTCCCCGATCTTTTAATCAAGGTGATTTCTCCTCCTCTCTAGCATGGCCAAATGCATGTCACCTTGACTCTCCAGAGCCTGCAGAGACTGGCAGCCTCTCAGCTCCTCTCCAAGTTCACCAGAAACTCCTCACCAAGACAGCAATGCAGACAACCTTATAGTCCCTGAGCTGTGAGCTGTCTGCCTCTTTCATTTCCAGCCAAACAAAGAATATGAGGCCTTTATACAAAGTAATACAGACACACTAGAGGCACATCTTGCACAGACAATGCATTTCTTTGCCCTGCGTGGAGGAGCTGTCAAGTTCAGTTCTTCTGTTTATCATCCTTCTCCATTTTGCTCCAGTTGCTTTTGTAATTAAGAGGTGAATATACCAAATTCCCATGGCTGCTTTTCCTTTTCTTTAGAAGTCTCTGTCTAGTTTCTGCACTGACTTATAGGTACTACAGCCCTCCCCAGATTTGGTATATTTATTTACATGGGAAACAGCTTAAAAAACAAGACACATTCAAATCTTGCATCAACATTTTTGCAGAAATAATAATTTGATTATTTAAAAAGAAATACATCCCATTCTCTAACTATTCCCATTTCACCTCAACTGAAGGCATCTTTAACTCAGATCATTCACAGAAGTCTCTAATATCACTGTGTTCAGACTATGCAGTTCTGCAAAAGAGAACCAAGTTCCAGATTACTTGAGCTGTCAAAGAAAATATGCTGCCATCTTAATTTTCTTACTTCTCATTGTTAACTTGAACATGCTGTGGCTGTCAGTGTGACAGGGAGTAAGACATGATCTGTCATTTGTGAATTTACAAGTCACTGTGCAAACCTTAAACTGGAGCATTAGTAGTATATACTGATGGCAAAATGTCTCAGTAATTAAGCACGTATTTCTCCAGCGTTGGTCTCCAAACAGGTGAAACTATGTTTTCTATTTTTTAAAAAAGATGTGGAGATACAATGCACAGTTTTTCAGGAAAAAAAATAAATTTCCATTGTAAAGGCAGCCCAGGAGAACCTTGATTACCTTGTGATTTTTGATACTTTGTGGAAACTCTAGTCACAGGTTGCATGTGAAATATAGGCTGACATTTTGAATCTAACAGGACAAGGAGTCTTTCAGACCTCCATAAACCAGTAAAACTAATTTCAAGAATCCAGACACACAGGAATACCAAGAATACAGATTGCTGAACAATAACTCAGTTTACTCAGAAGGTCCCACTCAGACCTCCAAAACCCAGCTAACGTAAACAGCTGCTTCTCAGGAGAGGAACACCAAGAACAGATAGTCAGAACAAGAGCTCAGACCCATGGCTCATCAAAGTGCTGTTTTCAGAACAAATGGAAGACCAATTTTGCTAATAATCTAGGAATGGAAAGAGAACCACAATAATCCAGCTTCCGTTTTATGGGAAGATGTGTCACAGCTATCATGTCACCACCTGATAACTAACAGCAGGCATGACCCTCCAAACATACGTAAAGGGTGTCAATCCAATGCTCTATGGATACAAAGCGTGTGGTATAAAGGAACACATTGTGCAAAACATACCTTATTCCTGTCAACTCTGGCACTTAATATAATTGGTGGGATTTGAGGTTGGGGAAGATGGGTGGTACCAACTAATTTCTTTCTTCTTTAGAGTCATTTTCCATATGCTCATACAAACTGTGGGAGGCTTTGAGCAATATCCTTATGACTAAGGTAACTAAGTCCACCTGGGGAAAGAACATCCAGAAAGCCAGTGTCCTGAGACACAGCTCCTCTGGATATGGGAAGATTTAGCGAGCTGTTGACATTACTCCCAGTGGCAGTTCTACAAATCTCAAAGACAGAATTGAAGTATTTACAGAAGCACCTGCCCTCCCTGAGCATGCTCAGGTCACTTTCCTGTATCAGCTACAGATCTGCAGACTGCAGAGTTCACTGCAGTCATGTAGGATAATTGCTGAGAACTAATTATCCCTACTTAGCAAAGCTGAAATTGAGATGGGCCCTCCTTAAAGTCCCATGATAAAAAGAGGAAGCATGTTTAATATCTACTATACGTAGCATTTTTGCTAGAGACTGATGTGATATAAGAATGGACAGCCACAGGAAGGAGAATATCCTAAACCAGGCGAACTCAGAAGTTAACTGTGGTATGAAACTTCAGATGTGTCCAATATATAGCTTTATTCCAAAAACTTTTGTGTAAGAAGGACTAATCATAACAGCCTCAGTCCTTTCCATCTTTCTACTTGCTATGATAGCCACCAAATTTATTTTTTTTTCACAGAAAGGGAGAAAAGTTTATATAAACCAAGAATTCAAAAAACTCCATTAATGTAGGAACCACGTTTATGCTTCCCTAAGGATTGCTAGCAAGGGAAAAGCTCTCAGGAGAATAGTAAATAACGAAGCTGCAAGTAAATATTCATCTTTAAAACATGTCCATACATAAAAAAAAAAATATTAAAAATCCTCTATAATGGCCTCCTCTGTATGTGTTCTCTTATATGCTGCCTATTTTTATTTCTGTCTGACTGACTACGCATTCTCCTTCAGGGACAGAGCCTCGTCTTGGTGGCAAGCTGGCATCTCCAGTCCC